AAATATTGTTTCTTATTTTAGTTTAATAAGGGAAAAATATATAGAACAACAACAGAAAAAACACTTCGAAATTCTATTTCAAGTTTGATTGATTGATCACTTACTAAACGTAAGCTGTTCTGACGGGCTGAAAAAAATGCTTGAGCATATTTTGGCAACTTTGGTTTTTACCCAATAGAGAAATAGGTATAATAAACTAAAAACCATTGTATTATATTAGTGTGCATATGTTTGCTGAACATCTCAATGAATCTCAATGAAATATTGTGGCGAATAGCTTAGTTTATTTTCGTTTTTGTGCGTTAAGTTACTACCGGACCAAATAATTGGAGGAAGATTTCTTTAGCCGTCCCGTCTAAACGGGTAAACGCCACCTCTGACAGCTTTGATTAAAGAAATATACAGTTGCGAAAAAAATTTTACCACCACTACGCCATAGATTTTTCATTCTAAAACAAGATAAAAGGAAATATTAGATACCCGATACTCAGCACAAGGGATTGCGAGATAAAACTAAACATTTTCGCTGCTGATATTTGTACCCAAAAAAATTGTCGTATGCAGATAGTTTATAGTTTTCACTAGTGTTGCCTTTAATAAAGTTTTGTTCCTGGCAAGCATTTGTAAGTTGGTTTATTCAATCAAAACGTTTGTCAAAATACAGGGGATTAGAAACCGTCAAAAATGACGTCTGTGACACCGAGATTGGCTTTTCGGGAGAAATTGGGTTGGAAGGGATTTCTGTGACACAATATCACACTTTGAGGTTGAATTCATTGTCAATTTTCGAGTGTTGTCGAATTCATGAAATGGGGCTTATGTCAACACGAATCAGTCCATTTCATGAAATGAAAGCGCGAAATGACCATCGCATAAATAGAGTAATAGATAACTAAAACGCCTAGGAGTTCTTAAAAAATGAATTTTACATTACTAAAAGACACAGTTAGTGGTAATGATTTTAATTCTTATTATATTTTTTATTTATTTATGTATGTCTTACAACTATAAGTATAACAGTATATGAGGTATTTGTGGAGGGGACAAGAGTATATCAGTAAAGTGTATGAGTAATATGCAGCTATGTTATATTTTTGGCTATGCCAAGGGAATAAATTCGACCTCATCCGAAGAATTTGTGCTATTTTTCTTTGGTCACCGGTATGCCCTGGCTATCTTTGGCCTTGGAACGGCGTTGGTTGGGATCGAAGTTGATGCCCGGGTTCGTATCTACCAAGGAGTTCTCTCCATTGCCGTGTCCAGGTGCTGCAATGTTTCCCTGACCGAACTGGTGGTTTGTGTTGCCAGATATTTTTCCCTGCAGAATATGTTTCATTGGGTTATTAGTGCGGCAGGAACCATTTCCTGGGTTCATACTAACAGGCATGATATGTTTTACCGGGTTAGTCTAACCATGTTATTTACGCTGTTGTCAGGAATGGAGACGTGGCCGGGTTCATGGTAAGCTATGTACATCCAGTGCTATACCTGGAAGCAACGCTATTTTCCTAACCGTACGGGCTTGTATTTGTATTTATATTGTTGCCCTGGTTATAGTTTCCATAGGTGTTATAACTTCCTTTATTGCAGTTGCCCATGTAGCCCGGGTTTGCGTACATAAGGGTGTTTCCCGTTGCGGTTGTACTGCCCTGTTTAAAGATGAGTTGGCCTTCCGGGTTGCCCTGACCCACGTTATTCGCGTTGCTGGCCGGAATGGAACCGTTGCCTGGGTTTTCAAGGATCTTAGTACCGGGTTGTCGGGTAATGTGTTCAGATCCGATGGTGATGCCGTGTGTGAAAACACCTGATTTGATTCCCCGGTTGATGTTTGCATACTGGTTTTTCCCTTCCGATTGCCGCGGCCAATATTATTCGTGTTGCCCTGTGCATAAACGCCCGAATTTTTGTTTTGTACGTACACGACAGTATTGGGTGATTTATATGTGCTGGATCTAGAATTGGCTCCAGGATCTCTTAAAATGTTGTTCAAAAGCCAAGGAAAGAGCCTAGTAGAAACACGAAAGAACACATTTTACAAATCACTTCTGGACGATAGAAAGGTTATACAACACATTTTACAGAAACAAAAAGGGTCGGGATCGCGAAAATGTAACTTCTGAGACACTTCTGTGTGATGGAAAGACGATAATACACATTTTACAAAATCATAAACGGTCGGGAAAGCTAACAATCTTCTGATGCATTTCTGGGCGCTAAAACGACGATAGAAAAATTTGTACAAAAACAAAGTTATTGTGAAAAAAAATGTCTTTCAAATGACTTCTAGAAGTGGAAAAAATGATAGAAAGGAAGACAAACAAGAGAAAACGCTATAGTCGATGGCCTTGACTATTAGATACCCCTTACTCAGCTAAAGGGAGTGCGAGAGGGATGGAGATATGCTTAAAGCAAAACTGCTTTTTTCACTAACACACCTAGCCTTTAGCGCCACCTATCTTCTTTTTCTATAGAGCCACATAGCGCATGTAGTTCCAACACTCCAGCTCCTGTAGTTTTCGAGATATCAGCGTTCGGTCCGTATGAACGCGTTTCCGTCCCCATAAAGTATATATATTCTTGATCAGGGTCACTAACCGAGTCGATCTAGCCATGTCCACCTGTCTGTCCGTCCGGATGAACGCAGACATCTCGGAAACTATAAGAGCTAGGCTATTGGATTTTGTCATGCAGTTTCCTGAGCTTCTTACGCAGCGCTAGTTTGTTTCAGCAGCGTGCCACGCCCACTCTAACGCGTTAAAGTGGGCGTGGCAAACTTTTTTTTTAGGTCAATCGATAGGTATTGATGAGAACAATACATTTCAGTTAAAATTTTTATTCCAGCATCAAAACTGTAGGAGCCACAGTTTTGGGCGGTTTGTGGGCGTTAGAGTGGGCGTGGCACTATGCTGAAACAAACTTGCGCTGCGTAAGAAGCTCAGGAATCTGCACGCCAAATCTCAATAGCTCTTATAGTTTCCGAAATCTCAGCGTTCATACGGACAGACGGACAGACGGACATGGCTAGATCGACTCGGCTAGTGATCCCGATCAAGAATATATATACTTTATGGGGTCGGAAACGCTTCCATCTGCCTGTTACATACTTTCCGACTAATCTTTTACTCTAAGAGTAACGGGTATAATTATTGTTTGGTTATAACTTTTTAATGAACGGACAGACGGACATGGCTAGATCGAATCGGTTAGTGATCCTGATCAAGAATATATATACTTTATGGGGTCGAAAATGCTTCCGACGATCTAATATACTCTTTTCCTCTACGAGTATCGTGTATGAAAAGTCTGCAGTAATGTACATAATTAAGATAGAAATCAAACAAATATTATCAAATAATATTGACTTAACACATCATATGAATTTTTAATGGATACTTCAGAGATTAACGCACAGTCAGACTTGAATTTTTGACAGGAACTATATTATGAATCGAGCCATGTGTTGAGGTCATACCCGTGATGGTTACAAATTACACGTCGGTAAATTTTAGACGATTATGTTCAATAATGTGTGAAATACTACGAGAATCAAGTAAAGTAGAGTAAAATTTAGACCTAGAAAAATGTTGAATGTCAAAACATTCTTACAGATTAACATGAGGACTGAAAAAGGGGCCTAGGAATGTACGCTCTAATAAATCTTAAGCTGGTTTTTAGTATTCTTAAGCAACTATTTTGACCAAAACTGTATTTGCTGTCCGCCACTTGATCTGTTCCATCACTCTATGGGAGCACCGTACACTGACAACTTCCTCGCAAATTGTTCGTCTGTGTGTGACAGTGACAAGCACATAAAAGTAAATACGACATGATATTCACCCCCAGTGTCAGTGCCCCAACTCCGGGTTGTCTGCCATTGTTTGTCGAAAAGGACCCTCATATGTGGGACTCTGGCCAAGGAGCATGTAAAAGGTTAACACCCCCAAACCAGAGGGCCGAACATCCAACACCCAACACATTTAAGCGCAATTTGTACTAATTAATACTGAATTCGACTCCCGGCAGGGCAGCAATTGAGTTTCTGTAGTGGTGTTCCCATTAAGAGCTTCAGCCTATTTGAATGGAAGCCGTCAATTGATGTCAAGGTGAATGGGTCAGTCGAGTGATAGGCACTTACCACACAAAGCGAAATAAATCCGAACTAGATCGACACAGAGCAAAAACACCAACAGTTTAATGGCGGCTTCAAAAATTTTGTTGGCTTTACATTTGTTTTATTTTTTTTAGGATTTTTTTTATGGATTTTAAAAATGTTTAATAAAATGTATTAAAATCATTTATTTAATGAGTGATAGAGATAAGTCTTCGACCCTATAAAGTATTAATATTCTTGATCAGGATCACTAGCCGAGTCGATCAGGCCATGTCGATCTAGTTCTAGACCTATCTTAGCTAGAGAGTTGGAATTTCATATTTAGAGCCTTAGCTTCTGATTAGTTTATTATCTGAATGAGCCCACAACGTTAAGCTTGGATAGCGTCCACAGTTGTAAAGACTTTGAAATAGTGTATTTGACATTTTGTTTCGCTTATCAATACCAATCTACACGTCAAAAATTATTCAATTATTCCATAGAATAATTTCCATTAAGATTCTACTAGTGCCTACTAAGCCCATGTTCCTTATCCGAGTGCCACGCATACTCTGTGGCGTTCTCCCTTGCTATGACTAAAAAAAAGAAATATTTTATCTGTCTTTAAAATATTAACCAATCAAGATAAGAATGGTCAGCATTCATTTGCCCTTAGTGTCGTTTTTCTTGGAACTTTCTAGTCAGAGACCCATTACTTTTACTCTAGGAGTAAAGGGTATACAAATGAACAACACAATCATATAGCTTTTACAAATAAATATATGGATCCTTAAAGTCGCATACTTATTGTTAGTTACTTATTGTTGTGTCAAGGGCTATTTAAAATATTAATATTAAGATTTAAATTCGGTTTCATTAATCATCCACAAAACTTACATATGTGTTTCAGGTTATTGGCCACTTGGCTTTACTTGGTGCAACATTTATGTGACCTGTGATGTGCTGGCCTGTTCCTCCAGCATCCTGCATATGTGCTTCATAAGTTTGGGACGCTATCTGGGAATACGGAATCCATTGGGCTCGAGACATCGGTCTACGAAACGATTGGCTGGTATTAAGATAGCCATTGTTTGGGTAATGGCCATGATTGTATCCAGCTCGATAACAGTCCTGGGTATAATAAAAAAAGTTTGTAAAATGAAAGTTGTTTTTACATCACTATCTCGTGTACTCAGGTCTGGTCAACGAGAAGAACATTATGCCTGAGCACAACGTCTGTGTAATAAACAACCGCGCCTTCTTCGTTTTTGGATCTCTGGTGGCATTTTATATCCCCATGCTCATGATGGTCACTACTTACGCACTCACCATTCCCCTCCTCCGCAAGAAAGCACGTTTTGCCGCAGAGCATCCGGAAAGTGAACTCTTCCGCAGGTAAGAGTATGTAATATTGGGTTGCCCAAAAAGTAATTGCGAATTTTTTAAAAGAAAGTAAATATATTTTTAATCAAACTTAGAATGAACTTTAATCAAATATATAATTTCCATTTTGTTCGATAACCTTTATATAGTACGTATAGTATACTATACAAATACATTTGCCTCTTATTTATTCAAAACTCTTGATGGTGTGGATAAACCCAAAAAAAAATAGTACTTAAAAATTTGTAATAAATGTAAATTGTAAATTGTAGTTTTAGGTAATGGCTTACCCTACTTTTAAGGTTAATAGTAGACAAAATTTAAATTCCAATGAGTGCTTTAAAATACGTCCATATGTCCAAAAAAAACAAGGAAGAACGCTATAGTCTAGTACCTCGACTATCAGATACCCGTTACTCAGCTAAATAGAGATATGCAAGCAGCAAAGCGAGATTAAAATGCGCCACCTACCGGCGGTATACAGAATTAAGCGTTATAGGCGTTCGAGTGGGCGTGGCAAATTTTTTTTTGAATCAATCGATAGGTATTGACGAGACCAATACATTTCAGTTAAAATTTTTTATCTAGCATGAAAATTGTTGGCGTCACAGGTTTTCGCGGTTTGTGGGCATTAAAATGGGCGTGGCAAACATTTTTTTGGGTCAATCGATAGGTATTGATGAGAACAATACATTTGTGGGCGTTAGAGTGGGCGTGGCAGGAATCTCAGAAATCTGCATGCCTAATCCCAGTATTGGAGCTTCTATAGTTTCCAAAATCTCAGCGTCCATACGGACAGACGGACAGACGGACATGGCTAGATCGACTCGGCTAGTGATCCTGATCAAGAATATATATACTTTATGAGGTCGAAAACGCTTCCTTCCGCCTGTTACATACTTTCCGACGAATCTAGTATACCCTTTTATTCTACGAGTAACGGGTATAAAAATTTGTAATAGACTAAAATTGTAGTTTTAGGTAATGGCTTACCCTACTTTTAAGGTTAATAGTAGACAAAATTTTATTTCCAATGAGTGCTATAAAATAAGTCCATATGTCCTATAAAACCAGAAACTATAGAATTATAAAAGTAGAGTTTGCTCTTGCCCCCAGACACAGTCTTTGGTCTTGCCGGGAAACCTGTATTTGGTTTTGTAGACCGGGGATCGATTCTCACCGCGGACAAAAAAAAAAAAAAGGAAGAACGCTATAGTCAAGTACCTCGACTATCAGATACCCGTTACTCAGCTAATGGGACCAAAGGGAAATGGAGATATGCAAGCAGCAAAGCGAGATTAAAATTTGCCACCTACCGGCGGTAGACAGATTTAAGCGTTATGGGCGTATAGGTATAGGTATTGACAAGACCAATACATTTCAGCTAAAATTTTGTATCTATCATGAAAATTGTGGGCGCCACAGGCTTGGGCGGCTTGTGGGCGTTAGAGTGGGCGTGGCACATTGCTGAAACAAACTTGCGATGCGTTACATACTTTCCGACGAATCTAGTATACCCTTTTACTCTACGAGTAACGGGTATAATGATTGTTTTTCAGAAAGATAAAATATTCACTTAGCCAAATTCACTATAATAAACAATTAAAATAAATAAGTTGTAATACTATGAGTAAGTTAACATTTTTTAATGTTTAGGTCATAAACTACCTTATTTTTAGGACATATATTGGACGTTTCATACCAACCCGGCCACCCCCGTTTTTTTTAAGGTGCACAGCACCGTTTTGAGATTAAAGCAATATCCACGTAAAGGAAGTTTACACTAGAACTATTATGTCTGGCAAACGAAAGACACGATTTACAAAAATCAAAAGCAGTTGTATTTACAACTTATTATTTACTACATGGCCGGTTACGAAGTAAAAAGTGGATTTTATTTAGCCATAGATGAGCACTCAATAGCATATTTTAAGTCTAAAAGAATGATTTCAGTTCGATTTGTTTTATTTTCTAAAAGTATATACGATTCCTTGACGTATTTTTATACCCCTGCAGAGGATATATTGATTTCAGTCAGAAGTTTGCAACGCAGTGAAGGAGACATTACCGACCCCATAAAATATATATATTCTTGATCAGCATCACTAGACGAGTCGATCTAGCCATGTCCCTCTGTCCGTCCGTTTCTACGCAAACTAGTCTCTCAATTTTAAAGCTATCGGGCTGTAACTTTCCCAAAAGTCTTAATTCTTGTGCAGGTAGTATACGAGTATATCTTATAGCTCCCATAGGAATAATCGGAAAAAAATTATTAAAAAAATAATATCTTTGGTGTTTTTTATCATATAACCTCCTAAGCTTGGAAATAACATTTTTTAATTAGTATTGAATTTCAAATTAAATTTTATCAAAATAGGAAAACTATATCATATAGTTGCCATAGGAACAATCGGAAAATTGGTGGGAAAATAATATGAAACAAATTATTGCTTTGGTGTTTTTTAACATATAACCTCCTACACTTGGAAATACCATTTTTTAACTAGTTCTAAATTTCGAATTTAATTTGATCAAAATCGAACGACTATATCATATAGCTGTCATAGGAACGATCGGAAAAATGGTGGGAAAATTGTATGAAACAAATTATAGCTTCGGTGTTTTTTGACATTTTATCTTATACTATTGGGAATATCATTTTTTGTATTTTTAATTTTAATAACTATAACTGCAAGGGTATACAAACTTCGGCTTGCCGAAGTTAACTTCCTTTCTTGTTTACAGTAAGCAAGAACAGAACCCTGTGAAGGATAGATTTTAATCAAGATTTGAAAAGGTTAAATGTTTTTACTCAAGTAGTAGAAAGCGATCCAGAAAAATTATGAATAAAATCATACTTGTCCTAAAAAATAAATAAAAAAGGACTAAAAGTTAATTTTTAGGTCGTGCATTACCCAAAAATTAAAATATTGTATTTTTGCCCTACTTTTTAGGTCACGAATGGATTTTAAGAAAATTATGTTTTAATATTACAAAATAAGCTGTAGAGGTTGACGAAACCCGATTGAAAAAACAAATCCACAGCTGAGCCATATTATTGCAAAATTGGTCAGATATAGGTTCTAATAATTTGGTATTTTCAAATAATGTTTAATGCTTACTTATAATGTTATTATATTTGTTTATTATAGTGAATTCATATAAGGTAATATTTTATCTTCCAAAAAAAGTAACATTTTAATTTTGCCCGCGGTGGGAATCGATCCCCGGTCTTCCGCGCGAGAATCTGATGCGGACTAAATACGTCTGATATCTTTTTTAATTCAATATTATATTTCAAATTATTAAGGAAATATTTAATATGTTTCTTAAAAACTCTCCTCGTATCAGAGGCAAGCGCCTTACAAATTCCGCACTATGTAACGCAGGAGCGTGTAAGTTCATGCCAATTTCTAACTTCCTCAAGATTTAAATGCAATATTTTACAACTTCATTATATTCAAAATGCACATGTTCTGTGCGACGATAGCATGACCTTTTCAGCTCACTTTATAACATTAAAACATTGATTTTCTTAAAACAGTGCATTAAATAATTATAAGCAATGCAATTATTGTTTGACTAGGTTCAACATTAATATCTAACAGACATATATAGTTTAAAAGGTTTTTAGTTGTCAAATATATCTAGGTAAGATGCCATTTAAGGCTATTAGGGTATTCCTAATCTCAAAAGAAGGCAAAATAGTGCAAAAATTGTGTTTTTAGGTAGTACATGACCTAAAAATTAACTTTCGTCTATTTTTAATTTTTTAGGTTAGGAATGACCTAAAATTTTGTTTATCTTTTTTCTGGGTGTACAATTTACCATGAACAATGTACATTGTACATACATATTTTATTAATTTACCTAACTTTTTATATTAGATGAGAAAAAGTCGATAATGAAAGCTTATTGGAATGACCTTGGATAGAAAACTAATTAACAATTTTTAATTAAGAGTTTTCTCTTTTTCATCTTTAAAAAGTCATTCTTTGGTTGGCCGGCTCACAGACATTACGGACATTTCCGGTACTGATTGGTTGCCTAAGGTCAATCGAAGCCCGACTAAGCGTGGCAAATTATCCTTAACATAATCAACCGCCAGTTTGTCCAGCCATCACGTTTTCTCTACCACATCTCTGCACTGAGAAATGTCAGCTTAAGTCGTCGAGTGCCTTGATTCTAAACACCACACCAACAAACCACCTAGCGTCTATTCCGTTAGTTGCTTATAACGTTTTAATGTATGGTCCAAATTGAACAATTGTTGGCATGTAGAGGGGTACTGATAATAAGAACAAAATCCCATCTTACTTTCGTATAAAAGCAATATGATATGGTCAGATTTCTTATAAAATGAAATGAACTCAAAAATCTTACAAAATTCTCTACCGTAGAGTCGAATAAAATATTATCATGGCAAAGATCCGTTACTAGTTGAATAAAAATTAGGGACTTTGAATAAAAGTTATGGAAAAATTAAAATCACTGTCAAGCCGTAAAAAAAAAATTAATAGGTGAAATGTTTGAAAAAATTTTAAAAAGTGTACTAATTAAACCGAATGTATCCATTGTCTGTCACAAAAATGAAAAATCAAGGGGTGTTTTTGTTTCATGGTAATTATTTTTTGGGTAAGACATTCCCAATGCGGATAGGAAAATCGGGTTTCTCAAAACGGTTGATTTGGTTATTTTATGAAAAAATTTTGAGTGTACCCTTTAGTCGTTTATTATATACACATATATATTTTTCAGGCTAGGTGGGCGCTTTACCATAAGACCTCAGCACAGCCAGCAACAGTTGCAGGTACACAGCAGCTTCTCCAGAGGCAATAGCAAATTTCTGTCAATGAGCGACAGCATTCGCACCTTTAACAATGGAGGACGAGGGGTTGAGGAAGGAGCTGATGCCAGGAAAAGGTGCGTGGAGCCCGCAGAACGACCTTTGATGCAGCAGAGAACGACGAGTAGCAGGAGCATTGGCCCGGCCAGTTTCCGCAATGTGGCCAATGGCAGTGGAGGAGCTGGAGGAAGTGGGTCTAAGGGAGCAGCCCCTGCCCGCAGCAGCTTCCGGTTCTCCGGAGGCGGCATCCTGCGGCACTCCTCGTCACCCGCCTCGAGCTGCCACTCCACCAACAAGTCGCATTCGAGCAGCTTCTGGAGCAAACACGGAGGCAATCCCAACCTAATGGACAGGTGAGTGGGATAACACTTGCTAACAAGTTAAAATCCATGAAACGCTCCTAAGCCTGTGACGGTAAATTCTGATTGTGCTGAAAATGTCAGTAACATTTTTCTCGATGGCACTTTTTTTTGTTTCAAGCATTAGATTTTAAATTTCGAATTTCAGTCAGAAGTTTGCAACGCAGTGAAGGAGACGTTTTCGACATAAAATACATACACTCAGAAAAATAATCAAGTATTTTGTGCTTGAACCTAGTATTTTCGGTCTCAAAACTTCGCCAAGCATGGAAAATACAGAACGCGAGAACAAAATACTACTTTCGAGTACGAATTTTCAAGACCAAAAATACTAGATTTAAGAACCTTTCGATCTTGAATCAAGTATGAATAATTCTTAAATCAAGTCATATTTGGACTAAAAACAAGAACGACTTAATAATAAAGTAAGAAAGTGGCAGGCATGATTTAAGGACGAATAATTCTTAAATCAATATATAAATATTATGAAAATAAAATGAGTTTTTATTTTATGCTAGTAAGAGAAATAAGTATTGAAAACTGAAACGAAATAAACGAGATATATATAAATAATATTAAAATTTTAAGTTTACATACGACTTGCCGCTGACGGGCACTAACACTGTCTAATTTATGCGCCTTATATACCGAGTACTTTCAGAATAAACAGTTGGGAATTATTAGAGTTGGCAGACATTAAAAATCTAAAAAGTGCTCAATATGAGAATTTGTTGAGCACGAATGTTCTTAAATGTTAAGCATGCAATTTTTTTTTATGTACGAGTATATGTTGTTCTTGATCAGCATGACTAGACGAGTCGATCTAGCCAAGTCAGTCAGTCCGCGTTCCAACGCGAGCTAGTCTCACAGTTTTAAGGTTTCCAAAAGTCTATTTTCAGTTGCAGGTGTATATATGGATATAGTTCCTATAGCTGTAGCCTATATTTGTCCGATTCGGCTTGTTCCAAATTATATATCTACTACCTGTAATAGAAAACAGACTTTTGGGGAGGTTCCATCGCGATAGCTTTAAAACTGGGAGCCTAGTTCGCATAGAAACGGACAGACGGACGGACAGACGGAAATGGCTAAATCAACTCGCCTACATTTAGAGAAAATCAAGTATTTTTAGTGTCAAAATATGGCTAAGCATTGAAAAAAATTTAAGACAAGGAATTCGGTTTCAGTAAGTTTTTAGAACCTTTCGGTCTACAATCAAGTAAGCAACATTTTTTAATCTAGTCATATTTTTATTAAAAAGTAGTACGATTAAGTAATAAAGTGTTATACATGTTAAATTGGGTTTTAATTATATGCTAGAAAGAGAAATAAGTATTTGAAAATAAAAATGAAAAAAAAAACAAAATAAATTACATGAATTTTATAAGTATACTTACAAATTGCCGCTCACGGGCATTAACACGGTGTATTTTATGCGCCTTATATACCGAGCACTTTCAAAACAAATAGTTGGGAATTTTTAGAGTTGACAGAAATTTAAATCCAAAATTTGTTTAATGTAATACTTTTTTTTAGTACGGACGGTTTTAAAATGGTAAGCATGAAATCGTTCTTAAATCAAGTCTGTTTGTACTTGATTTTAGCACGGTGTTTTTGCCAATGTGTGGTGATGCTGATCAAGAACACATATATACTTATTTGATCAGCATGTTCGTCTGTCCGTATGAGCACTGAGATCTCAGAAACTATAAAAAATGGGAAGGTTGGGCTTAAGCATAAAGTCTAGGGGCTCTTGAGCAGCGCAAGTTTGTTTCAGCGGAGTGTAACGCCCTCTCTAGCTGCAGGGACGAGGAGGAACAGGAAACGGTGGAACACCTGTTCTGTTCCTGCCCGGCCCTGAGCAGATCTAGACTGTACCACTTAGGGAATCCCTTCATGAGCAGTCTATCTGAACTGGCGAACATAAGCCTAAAACGAATAATAAAATTCATTAAAGCAAGCGGATGGGAATTATGCTAAGCCAGCTGCAATAAAGGCAGCAGATTTTTAGGAAAGGGGATACAGATCCACGCGGTACCACAATGGACCTTTTAAGGACTAAGTGTGTCAATGATTTGGCAGCCGCTCTAACCTAACCTAACCTAACGCCCTCTCTAAAACCCATAAACGCTAAACTCTGTCTTGCGCCCACATATTTCAAGATTTTTTTTAAATATAAATTTAAATTAATTACATTGATCAATTCCTGTCTAGATGCTGACAATCGTACTAATTGCATTGTTATTTTTAAAGTTATGACTAAACAAAGCCCCGCTCGCGCTAAGGGCCATGGCGCTGGCATCGAAACTTGTCGGATTTCTTCGAGTTTTAAAGATAGTTTCGGAGATATTAGCTCTTTAATATCGAAAAAATCTCAAGAACGATTCTTTAAAAAAAAAGGTTTGAGTGATACCAGCGTGTACAGGAAACCAAAATATGCCTAGAAAATGTGGTTTTAGCGCTGAACTTTTATGTTTGTATGTTAAAACTACTGTTCTACGATGGCAGAGGCTGAGCAGAGCTATTCCTTATGTCCGCTCAATGGGATTTTGCCGAACGCTGTTTTAACGCTAGAATAAAAGTTTTAACGCCTGTCTAACGCCAAAATGCTATGTATGAACGCGAATATCTTGAAAACTATAAAAACTACAAAGTTTGCATTAAGCATGAATTCTAAAAATTTCTGCGCAGCGCAAGTTGGAATTAGCAAAGTGTTACAACCACAAGCCGCTTAAACCAATATATTGTGTTTATTTGATGGGCATTTCCCGCTTTCATTTAATTCTTGTGTTTATAAACACCGTCTCATGATTTCGACAACACACGAAAGTGGACTATAAATTCAGCCTTAATGCGTAAAATGCTTAAATCTGGAGACCAAGTGAAAATGTATGGTAACCGCTCGATGATTTCACTTGGTTTTCAGACAAGGCAAAAGTCGAGCAGATACCGAAGGAGATGGCAGACGACAACAAAGAGGCGTTGGACAGACTGGAGATGCAGAACCGGAACTTCTGGGGCTCAAAGGGAAATTGATGCCTCCTTTGTGCAGACCATGCATGATGTTCTGTCGGAGGATCGGGCCGAGACCCAAAGTTTCATGCGCTATTTTGTTTCTATACATCATTTCAATAAAAGTTTTGTACCAAAGAAATATTTTTTTATTTAGAACTGGTTCTCAATAGAAAGTTAGATACAATGTATTCCTTAAGAAGCACCCTTAGATCAGAGAAGTCGCACTCAGGACAATCTATGGCTTGGTTACAATGCCACTGTCGTGGAACGGATTAACGTATCGCTCAATGCTATATCAATTTAAATGTAGCGCTCAGTATTTCAGTATTTTGTATCGATGTTGTAACTTGCTAGAGGGATTGTGTTGTAAACTAAATGCGGTCACATGAAATGGTGAATTGTAAGCACAAATCTCCCGCTTTAATTTATTCTGATAGGGATTCAAAGAGACTGGGAAACTTATTGTTAAGATAAGGTTAAATCTAAAGCATGTACTTTTTCAACTAGAATAAAAACAGAACACACAGAACGCTACAAGATTGTGTTATTCTTGTTTCGGTGTTGGCTATGCTTTTTTAAACTCAACTCCCAGGGGATCTCTACCGGTCGGCATCGGCCAGTCTGATGGTTGATGGTTACTTTCAAGTTCGTTGCTTGGCGTAAACTTCTCCTTTCTTATTCGCACAAGGTTATAAAGTGCGGCGCAAGCCGAAGCAACAACCGAAAAAATTTGTGGCCAATGTCTATTCTTTTGGCCAGGCATCTCCAGCGTCCTTTCAGTCCACTACTATTCTTCCCACCTAAGGTAGCAGTTTAAGGACTCTATCTCCGGAGTAAGGTGTCCAGTGATTAGAATTCACGGCAGTAATGGGTATGCATGATCTCCCAGGATAAGAAAGGGAATCTCTTTGCTGCACAGCAGTTTTTGGAAGTCCGGAATATTTCGGGTGCGATCTTAATAAATTCCAGATTCCTTAAAGACCGTGGCGTGGTGGACACTTCCAGTTTCCAGGAAGTGCTTACTTCTCTGATTTTACAAATATATTTTATTAAAAATGTATAAATATATTGTACTTAAAACCAATATCAAAATATTTACTTACGAGTCATTGTTGTCAGACACAGCTTGTATGACCTTCGATGTCCATCCCTTTCGATTAACAAAATCCATATAGCCAATCTTTGGGGCTTTAACAGGAATGTGTGTTCCTAAACAACACCAGTTTACAAACAAAAATTGATGAAATACGCCTTAAAGGAAACCTTTGTTTTCCGGTAAGGTACATCTCCCTGATTAAGAAAAGGGCACCTAAAATTTTTTCAATGGTACCAATTTTTTTTAAAGTGTAAAAAACGTTTTTACTTGCTATTAGTGCTGGGCAAGCTAAAAAGTATGCGATTGCAGTTACGAGGAAATGATTTTCATATATTTTTAGCAAGGAAACTGACGTTATGCATAACAACTTGCACCAAATTCTTACCTTTTCCAACACTGAAAATTTAAAATAATGTTTAACGGCCGCTGCTCCCGAGTACTGAACTTGGGTATATTCATATAAAAATGTGTAAAAAATCGATTTACCAACGGATTGTCGTGATCAACGGCGCATATTCTCCGTTAAGGTTCAGCCTTCAAGAAAACAACATAAAACTAATTTCGGTTTTTATGCGTGTGTTTTTAAAGAAGCCATTTATGCCAGCCTTTTTGCATTTTATTCAACTTTGACGAAGTGTAGCTTCTAAACTAATAAACGTAACTCAATGACGTGTATAAGAAAGTTAAAGGGCATTTTATTACCTGTAAAACTGGTTTTTGATGACCGAATTTAATTTTTCAGAACTACTACTACTTAAAAGCTTTTTACCGTCAATAGCTCCAATCACGTAAGGAATGTGAGACGGTTTTTTATAAAGCCTGGAATTTGGGTACGAAATTAATGTACTAGTGATTTTTAGTATTGTTTAACAACAATGTGAAAGTTTTAATGGACAGTACTTTCAGCACTATCGGATCCGATTTTTAATTTTGCGGCTTTTTTTTAGAAATTTCCTCAAGCACACTCACTGTGCGATTCGTCACTACGTGTACTGCCGTGTTACCAATGTGATGCCACAGTGATATTCCCACAAAAGGTGTCAGATAGCCCAGTTCATACATTTCTCCAAGTTACAAGGGTTAATTAATTCCCGTCCTATTGCTAAGGGCAATCAATTATATATCTTTAAGCAATTAAATGCACATTGACAACAGTCTCACAACACGACGTATACGTAATCTGGCGCGTATGGCGGCTCGGACATAAATCACTCATACGTCATGTGGTGCAGCGGAACACAAAATAAACACGAAACCGTTTGTCGCACAACTTCAGCTGCTGCCACATTGTAGTTGCTGGAACCATAAATAGTGAAACACGAAAAAAGAAACAAATTTCGCATTCAGCATTGTTGCCAGCAGTCCAAACATGCAGGAGAAACCCCTAAAAGCATTCAAAATAAAAGGGAAGTGCAGTCAAAAGTGCCACACAAATTGCAGATGACTTTTCCTGCTGGTTGTCAGCAGCGTTTCGTTTCAGCTAAAAGGAAGTGCCAGGTCCGTTCTCGACTTAAGGCCCGGAAAAATGTGATGAATGTCACGATTATTCGCTGCGACTCTTGTACTTTTCGTATAACAAAAAAGTCGCCAGAGAAATGTATAAATTCCTAATGATCTACCAATCCCATGTTAAAAATAGTAAGATATGACAATATATATACGAAAAAAGGAGCGAAGCCGGTAAAAGTTCGTGTAAAATTATATGTTAAACATTTGACGTCATTATTATTTTTTTTTTGACTTCTCTTGGCGTCAGGTCAAATTAGAAGGGGCAAGATTCGAATATGACCTTCAAAACGTTGAACGGTGTTGTAACGTTTCTATGTGTCAATTTTTTTTAAATTTTTTTTAACGTGGAATTTTTTAATTTAATACTATCCTAACGTGGGAAACCAATAAATGTGATAATATAAAACTTGGGACTTGGGTTTTTCATCTATGGCAGACTAGGAGAGTGGATTTATGGTCCGTCTGGTTTCAGTGGAGGTCCAGGGGGTGGGTCCTTCGCAGCCTCCTGGTCCGCTCGCTATTGTTCAGCAGTCTTTAGGTGGTCATGCAACCTATGGACGTAGCGCCTACTCGTTCTCTGGATTTCTTCCTCCACCCATGGGAAGTTGAGTACATTATAGATGGTGTCGTTGTAGTGGAACAAGTGGGCATTGGAGGCGATGCGAAGCATTTTATTTTCGAACGCCTGGATGATGATCACGTTGGATTTGCTAGCTGTGCCTCATAATTGGGTCCCATATGTCCAGATCGGCCTTATGATCGTCTTATATACCAGGAGCTTCGATGACGTTGGGAGCTTAGATCTTCTACCCATCAGCCAGTAGAATGCTTTGGCGCGGGACTCGGCTTGGCGACGCTCTTTTGCGATGTGAGGTTTTGATTACGTTCTTATTTTGTGTTGCGTTCAAAATAAATAAAGTGAACAACCATTTTTATATTCGGGTCAATATGAGTCGTGTCGAAAAAATCGCATTCTTTCACTCATAGAAAGAATTCCTTTTATCTCCCTAAAATGTCGACTAATAATATAATATATATTTGTTGTATACATAAGGGACCAAAATTAATATGCCAAAATACCCGATTGATGACCAGTTTTGGTTTTTTATTTTCTCTGTGTTGGCATTTTTAAAAATTCGATAAGAATCTTTAATTGTTTTTATAGCAGGCCAGTCCCCACAACCACAAATTAAATTCTTTAATGTGGGATATATATATATAGAGGGACTTACAGCAGCCTATTTAACTTCATATGGGGACACACTGTTCAGATTTCCACAACCTCATAGCATATTTCATCAGCCAAAAGCGCAAACCAGTTCCTATCCCTTTTCTTCAAGGTGATCTACATATATCCATCACCATCTTTCTAACAGAAATTTCGCCTTATAAATTTAAGCAAGTCAGTCGATATTGGGTATTGGTCAGAGGAGGTCGTATCATCCATAGAGTGCGAAAGTCGTGGAGTTCAAATAAAAACCTATTTTTCTTTAATTTACTTAACTATACCCGAAATAAACATCTTAATTTGTAATACCCTACATTAATGTTCTTTAAGAACTGGCGTGACCGTCAATGATCAACATATAACTTAGCAATATTTTACGCAGCGCAAGTTTGTTACGCTAATTCTTCACGCCCACGATTAACTTAAACGAGGTTTGTCACGTGCACTCTAACGCCCATAACGCTAATCTGTCTGTAAAAATTTGTCTGCCGCCCACATTACGACACATTCAAACCCTCCCTTTATCTGTCCAAGTTATTCCATCACTTTCACTGTGGACGGCACTCCACGTAGTGACGAACCCGCACCATAGGAGTGTGTGGTGGCGACTACTATATATATTCGCAGAATTTAAAACCTGCAGGTATGGTCCGATCACAACGAGTGAAAGGTATTGCGAAAGCTAAAGATATTGCTTTCTAAGAAGAAGAAAAAGCAGTGAAAGATTAAAAGAGAAAATTAGAAAATTTGAGCTTTTGGGGCAGGTGAGGATGAATGCCCAACGTTATTATCCATATTTTCGATTGAACCTTCAACTTCAGATCAAATTTTATGACAAAAAATGCTCGTAAGTTCGTCTATATAAATACAATTTTTAAAATTTACTCATTCGGCACGATGCAATAGAGTAGCGAGAAGGTGTATTTAATTAATCGAGTTTACAATTATTGCTCGCCACAAAATATGATAACAGGACTTTTGTAAGTTCAAGGTGCGATCTTCACGACACCTTACCTCGTTATGAGATGTTTTTATTTGATTAATAATATAACTGAGAAAACGTACCTCTGATTTACAGTGTTGACATTTGTCTACGTTGACGCAAAGTACAATTTGAAGAACATTGCCGAGATGCTCTTCGTGCTGCTTTATATAATCAAAACAATAAACATAGTCAGTGGCACCAAGAACATTATCCATAAGTCTTTGAAGTGTTTGTGTGACGTTTCGAAAAGACCAAATGGTGTGCATATATTTTTCTAGCATGAAAATTGTGGGCGCCACAGGCTTAGGCGGTTTCTGGGCGTAAGAGTGGGCGTGGCAAACATTTTTTTGGATCAATCGATAGGTATTGACGAGACTAATACATTTCAGTTAAAATTTTTTATCTAGCAAGAAAATTGTGGGCGCCTCAGATTTCGGTGGTATGTGGGCGTTAGAGTGGGCGTGGCATATTCGCCTAACAAACTTGCGCTGCGTACAAGATACAGAACCCAAATCTGAAATCCCACTTCTCTATCTTTGATAGTTTCCGAGATATCCGCGTTCATATTTTAGATTTTTTGAAGTTTGTGGGCGTTAAAGTGGGCGTGGCAAACTTTTTTTGGTTCAATCGAGAGGTATTGATGAGAACAATGCATTTCAGTCAAAATTTGTATTCAAGCATAAAAACTGTAGGAGCCACAGTTTTAGGCGGCTTGTGGGCGTTAGAGTGGGCGTAGCACCCTTGCGCTACGTAAGAAGCTCAGGAATCTGCACGCCAAATCTCAATAGCCTAGCTCTTATAGTTTCTGAGATCTCAGCGCTCATACGGACAGACGGACATAGCTAGATGGACTCACCTAGTGATGCTAATCAAGAATATATATTCTTTATTCTGCGTTGCAATCTTCTGACTGATATCATTATACCCTCTGCAAGGGTATAACAAGAAAGGAAATTAATTTCGGCAAGTCGAAGTTTGTATACCCTTGCAGTTATAGTTATTAAATTAAAAAATGTAAGAGATGATATTCCCAATAGTATAAGATAATACTATATGTCAAAAAACACCGAAGCTATAATTTATTTCATATACTTTATGGGGTCGGAAACGTCTCCTTCACTGCGTTTCAAACTTCTGACTGAAATCATAATATCCTCCGCAAGGGTATACAAATATGCATATATTTCGGAACAGAATATGAAAAATTATTCTTCTCTGCTAGCACAAGCTTCCTTCTCTTTTCATTTACCCATCCGCCAAATAATGCTTTTAGCTAAAGGGCTAGATCTTCGGCTCAACGAGAATACAGATGTAAACTGATTATGGTAGAGATGGTTCAGGAGTCGTTTATCCCAAACGACGGAAATTCGTTGCTGTTGGCTTTTGGGTTTCATACCTTCCCCCTCCCAAATATCATAACATTAAAAAGTAATTTTATTAACTTTTGAGGGTGTCGGTTATGGAAGAACAACAGTATTCAGAAGATCTAAATCTAGTAGCAAACACTCGAACAGCGATATGAGAAACCGAAAATATTTTATAAAGGAAAAAAACGAAAAGGTATTTTTATTATTATTCAATACAAAATTATTACCAAATAATGAATTGCAATCTCGCTTTGCTGATTGCAACTTGCATTCAACAAATTATTATTATTTCAAAAGAAGATATTGCTTTCCATACACTTTGGTTTAAAATATACAACGAAAATTGGGTCCAAAAGATGTTTTAGACATGGTTTTTAATATAGGGTAACTTCTACAATAACATATGCATTTCATTGTATAAGTTTATATTTGCAACTATTAAGTACACATACTAGTTTGAGTTAATATACCTCCATAATGACTTTTAAGCGAATTTGAGAAGAATATGTTTTTCAGTGCTTTTTCATTAAGCTCCCTTTTAATGAAAAACTTTGGTTCGCAATCATCCAACAGCCATCCGAATCGACGGGCCTCTGTGCGTGTCAGTATGTCTCAGCCACAACTGGGTTTCCCGACAAATGGAAGTGGCGCTAGTAAAGCGTCGGAAGGTGGAGGCGGTGGCTATGGCTCATCAGCTGCGACAACGAGCTGCTCGACTCCTGGAGGCACCAGCATGATGAAAATCGCCACCATCCAGGGACCCACTTTGAGCCAGGGCCAGGGAGCTGGAGGCAATCACTCGCTGGAGCAGGTGAGGCCCACAGATTTAAAGCCCGACGAACGACAGCGCCAGAAAATGCGGACCTTTAAGTTTTCTTTAAACCGAGTTTCCACGCCCACTCTAAATTTACGGTGAGTAAACATGCTATATACGTAGTAATATTTTTAAATATAATGGGATTCTAATAAACTGAAAACTAAGTTATAAGAGATAGTTCGCAGTTAGTTTGAAACTGTCAGTTTGAAACTGTATTTTATTTATGGAAACTTTACATATTTCTTAAAAGATCGTATCTATTAGTATTATATTTGTATACCCCTGCAGAATTTTAAGGATACGTTTCCGACCCCATAGACCCCATTTCTACGCGAACTAGTCTGTAAGTTTTAAAGCTATCGGGATGAAACCTTCCCAAATGGCTACTTTACATTGCAGGTAGTATATTAGTAGGAACAAGTTTCCAGTGGAATGATAAAAAGTGCATCGACTATCGGGTATCTTACTCAGCTAAAGAGAGCAAAAGGGAGATGGAGATATGCAAACAGCAAAGCGAGATTGCAAAGCGCCACTACCCACGATTTCAATATATGGTTATGTGGGCGGCAGACAAATTTAAGCGTTATGAGCGTTTGTGAGCGTTAGAGGGAAATTTTTTTAAAGTCAATCAATAATTAAAGTCTCAACCGTCTAGCTTTTATAATTTCTGAGATCACAATGTTCACAGGGGCAGACGGACATGGCTAGATCGACTCGGCTAGTGATGCTGATCAAGACAATGTACTTTATAGGGTTGGAATCGTCTCCTTTACCCTGTGCCAGAGTATAAATATGTAATGTTATTCGATAGGATTTTTAAGAATTTATCAAGGTTTTGTAATTGAAAATAATATACAAACTTTGTGGGGTCGGAGACGCGCTTCCTTCTACCTGTTACACTCCTTTCCCCCAATACTATATACCCTTTTACTCTACGAGAAGCGGGTATAAATAGTGAAAAAAAGAAACAAATCCATCAAGCGCAGATCGACGGGAATCTCCGCTCTCTGATGAAAAAAATTATTAAAAATTATTTCCTATAACCGCGTATATAAACTTCGGCCTTGCGAAGTTTTTTTTTCATGTTTGAAATAAGATGAAAGCACCCCTTATCAAGGTAAGGGGTCGTGACGATTGTACCTTCAACTTACAAAAGTTCTGATATCAAATTTTGTGACGAAAAATGTTTGTAAATTCAACTAAACAAATACACTCTTTTCACAACCGTTCCCAACAACTCCAATTTTCAAAATGTTCACTCTTACACATCCTCCGCTCTTTCTCCAAAACCAATTGAAGTTAATGATGTCTTGGTATGCAATCTTTTTAGTTTAATACCGATACCTTTAGATTGGTGTATCACTCGCTATGATCGGACCATCACTGCCGATTTTTAAATCTGCACACTCGCCTTCGCACACTCTCCCAGTGCGCGTTTAAGATTGAAGATAAACATTCTAATAAATCAAGATGAATCGTAGCTCAGAAGAATATTACCATGTTTGACCGATAGACGGACATAGCTAGATCGACTCTATTTCATGGCCAACAAGTGCAGTACTCTAGTCTAAGCCCTCTTATCTCCCCGTGGATTTTCCTTCTTGCTTTTATAGTTTTTTTACCATATCTTTCTTCGCAGCTTTTTAAACAATCGCAGCAAACGGAACAGTTTATCGGCTAACGCTGTCGCCACAGAGCAGAAGGCAACAAAGGTGCTTGGACTGGTGTTCTTCACCTTCGTTCTGTGCTGGTCGCCCTTCTTCATCCTGAACATCATCTTCGCCGCGTGCCCCGAGTGCAAGGTGCCCGAGCACGTGGTGAACACCTGCCTCTGGCTGGGCTACGTATCTTCGACGATCAATCCCATCATCTATACCATATTCAATAGAACGTTCCGGGCGGCCTTTATCCGCTTGCTCAAGTGCAACTGCGAACGGTGAGTCGGGGACTTTAATTTGGAAAAAACAGAATCAGACCCAATTTATTGCATCGCGGGTGCACTCTGATGGGAATTAAAGTCCGACGTAACGCATATTTGATTCTCATGGGTTCTTAATTTGGCGAGGTATTAGGCCAAGTGGGAGAGGGAATGACTATGAGTATGTGAAATCCAGCTCAAACTAAATTAAGGGGAATTTTGTTGAGCTGGGAAAAAACAAGAGAGAACACTAATCAATTTTCATGTGCGCATTACTCAGCTGACCAATTCAACTTATTAAGTAATATTCCGATTTAATTAACCTTTGGAAAGTCGATATATATAATAAAATGTACGCTCAAAAAATATCTTCAAGAAAGTAGGCGCCACAAGCTTTTGAGATTTTTGGGCGTTAGAGTGGGCGTGGGAATATGCTGAAGCAAACATGTGATTATTAAAAAAATCATAAGACTATATTAGAAAGGGGTTCGAAAGATTAAGAGGGGCGCTCTTCGAATACTTTGACGAACTACCGAACCAAGAATTCGGACTTCTGTAATTGCGGTTCAAATATAACAAACAACTGCCTTTTTCCAACTTTGGCTTCTGTTTTCTTAGATTCGTGCATAGGCGAACTTTTTGGTGAACAGTTCAAAATGGCGATTCATAGCGAACTCGATTTTCTAGTAGCCATCGATGTACATTTTTGATGTTATAAGTAATATTAAACCTTTTTTCCTGTCATGTACTTTTCCGTTAGGTTAATTGGACTACAAAAATCCGGACAAGTTTTGAAATTAGTTTTATTTTTAGTGACAAAAAGCAAAACGCAGACGGACAGACGGGCATGGCTAGATCGAATCGGCTAGTGATCCTGATCAAGAATATATATACTTTAAGGGGTCGGAAACGCTTTTTTCTACCTCTTACATACTTTCCAACAAATCTAGTATACCTCTTTCTATACGGGTAACAGATGAAAATAATACATTTGACCAAAGGCAAAGGCGTTCGAGTTATAAACTTTGAAACCTTGAAGACCCTAAATCGCGTTATTTTAAAAATATTGCTATTGGTGTACCCTAACTAGATTAGAGAGTAGGACCTTTAAAATTGTCATATAAATGCCGCCCAATGTTTAAATAAGAAGACTTTGCCTTTTACTTGTAACTATAATCCTTTTGGCCTAACTACTGCCATCCAATTCCAGGTCCGGCCGCCCGCTGCGATACCGCTCCGTGACGGAGGGACGTGGCGCTGTGAGCCTGTGCGCCCCCTCGGCCTTGCCGCTGGCCATATCCTTTCATGGGGCGCCACTGATGACGCCATCCACAGCGAATGCGACGCCGTTAAGCGAGTTCCGAGGCAACTACACAATTACCGATGACGAGTGCTGAGCCACAGGGAACCCCATTCTTTTACGAATTTATAACGTCGAAACGGCAAAAATCAAACGGAGTCATCTGTACTTACTAGCTGCTAATCAAAGGAAAACGATAGCTTCAGGGAGATTCATGCTAACTTTTCCAATAAGAAATCACAATCAAATTGACGACTTAAGTAGGAACTACGAAGCAAAATACTACACTTAAAGCTCATCACATATCATAAAATCGAGAAAGAAAGATAACATCGCCAAGCCGAACATTAGAAACCCCTTGCAGCTAAAATCATAACTATCAATACGTGGGGAGTGTAGGGTAAAGAGCGAACGATTCGTTTTTAGAAGAAACATATAGATTTAGGTTTTTCGAAAAAAACTAAAACCCTGTGCATATGTTAACATATATATTTATTTTCCTTACGGAAGATTGAAAATGTTCATTTATAGAACACAAATATAATTTTAAAATAAAAAAAGTACATTTTGAACAAAATAGGTTGTTCAATATCTAGTTGACAAGCATCATCAAACAAAATAATAGTTTAGTATATAAAATTAATTTTGACTGTGGAAAAGAAAAAAATAAAGCTAAAATGTCAAGATACATCGATAAAACTCTGTCGAATTGAATTTTTATTTCAAATTTATGTTTATTTAACTAATAAAAACAACATAAAACAAGAGAGAACGCTATCGACTGCAGGCAGCAAAGCGACCGAAACAAAGATTTTACCTTACTTTTGGCATAGATGGATATTAATAATCAAAACAAAAATCCATTTGTTTTTTTCCACAAACTTTAAAAATGTAGGCGCTAGAAGGGTTTTAGCGTTATGACTTTTGTACAAGGTACTTTTGGAAATATGACATTGGTACTTTTTTGTTTCTAAAGATCTTATGTATACGGTAACTGTATACATTTAACTGACTAGGTTTTCAACAATTCTTTGCCCTGGCACTGCTCAAACACTTATAAATTGAATAGGTGTGCTAATATCAACAGTTTACAAAATAAAATAAAATTTTGTAAGCTGGTGTGTTTGCTCCACCCTTTTAGTCAAAATAATCTTACGTACTAGTTTCGCGACATCTTATTATTATTCTTGTAAATTCATTGTCGACCAGATACAAGAAATTGACCACAGTTATTTGAAAATTTTGACGTGACGTGACGTGTGAGACTTGTCAAGTTAGTCACCTTACCGTATTCTTTCCGTATTACCCTACACTCCCCTACATAACAGAAACTGTATATACATATAAGAGTAAGAATGTGTACATAAATATTTCGATAGTTCCTAAGGCAGCTATATGATTTGTTTTTACCATTTTTTTTTAATATTTTATTGTTTCATTGCAAAGGATATGATTTTCTGAGTTATACACATATATGTGTATTTGTAAAAACAAAGTTTTGTGTAATTTCCCTTTTTATTTTTAACTTTCCTTTACTTTCTATTGCAATAACATGACGACTATCCTAGGACTATAAAAATTGATTTTTATTGTAAACTCTAAAAATATGCCTAATATATTGTTCCCATATGTTATAATTATTCTTATGGGAACTATAGGATATAGTGGTCTGATCCCGATCGTCCTTTACCGCTCTTTACCATCGTTGCAAGCTCACCCCATGAAAGAATTTACAAATAGATGTAGAAACATAGAGTTTAATGATGATTGTGTTTAGCTCATATGTCAGTATACTAGTTTTAGTCATCGCTCAATAGAGCGAGTCTACAAAAAAAGGAACTTTTCAAAAATAAACGAAAACTATGACTTTCATGTTAAAAATCTAGTTTCAGTCTCTTTTCCAAAGTATACAAAAAATAAAATTGAACAAAAGTAAACGAAAACAAGGAAAAATGATAAGTCGATGGTCTCGACTATCAGACACCCGTTACTCAGCTAAAGGCAGTGCAAGAGAGAAGGATATATGCATTCAGCAAGTCGGATGTATCCGAGATTACACAGGAATATTGGAATAAACGCTGGGTGGCGTGTTAGTGTGGTGTGAAATATCGGAAATAGCTATATAGTCATTACTATCAAGTTATAACTTTTAAATGAAAGCTCCGATTTAAAAAAAAAAATCGGCATGTCGATAATAGGAAGAAAATCCCATTCAAACTATTATGAAATCTTCAAAACTTTGGGCGCTTTTAAAAGTTGTAGATTAAGGTGGCGAAGAAGAAGAAATTTACCTTTACACTTAAAACAAGGAGATGGAGATTTCCAAGCAGAAAAGCGAGATTGTAATGCGGCACCCACCCGGGATCTTAATATATGTATGGTTATGTGGGCGGCAGACAAACTTAAGCATTATGGGCGTTAGAGTGGGCGTGGCATATTCGCGTAACCAACTTGCGCTGCGTACAAGGCTACGGAATCTAAATCTGTAGTCCCAATTCTCTATCTTTGATAGCTTCCGAGATATCCGCGTTCATATCTACGATTTTTTTAACTTTGTGGGCGTTAAAGTGGGCGTGCCAAACTTTTTTTTTCAATCAATCGATAGGTATTGATAACAAAACATATCTATTAAAATTTTTATTCTAGCATTAAAACTGTAGGAGCCACAGATTTGTGCGGATACAGACTAATACATTTCAGTTAAAATTTTCTATCTAGCATCAAAACTGTAGGAGTTACAGTTTTGGGCGGTTTGTGGGCGTTAGAGTGGGCGTGGCAGTCTACTGAAACAAACTTGCGCTGCGTAAGAAGCTCAGGAATCTGTACGCCAAATCTCAATAGCCTAGCTCTCATAGTTTCCGAGATCTCAGCGTTCATCCGGACGGACAGACGGACAGACGGACATGGCTAGATCGACTCGGCTAGTGATCCTGATCAAGAATGTATACACTTTATGGGGTCGGAAACGCTTACTTCTGCCTGTTACATACTTTCCGACGAATCTAGTATACCCTTTTACTCTACGAGTAACGGGTATAAAAATGTTATTTCCCAGCTTAGGAGGTTATGTGTTAAAAAACACCAAAGATATAGTTTTTTTAATTTTTTTTCCCGATTATTCCTATGGGAGCTATAAGATATTGTTGTCCGATCCGGCTGGTTCCGACTTATATACTACCTGCAAAAGAAATAATACTTTTTAGCCCTATAGCTTTAAAACTGGTAGACTAGTTTGCGTAGAAACGTAAAAGAATTTCCAAATTTGATTGTTTGGAGAAACCAAGTCTACAATTATTAATGTAAGAAAATGGGTTATGTTCATCATTTCTCGAGCCGAAGCACGAATGGACTTCGATTTAAGATGGCTAACTTGGAAAGGCTTTTTTCTATTTCCGATCTCAATTTCGCCATAGTTAAACATTTCTTTTCTAAAAATAAAATTTTCAAGTGTGAAGAATTTGTTAACGGTAATAAAATTAAGTAAAATCTCAGAAATGTCGTATTTACAAATGCCCTCGAAAAAGTCATGCATTATGTCAACAATGTAGTTTTCAGTTGCAGTAAAGTACGTTAACTGGTTAAAAACGCAACTGACACCTGTTAGCTTAGGATCATCCTGCAAAAGGGCTTGTTCATAATTTTGTACATTTCTAAAACACTCTTGGTCAGGGGATGCATCTTTCAAGAGGTCTTGCTTAGTTTTTGTACAAAATCGACAATAAGAATTGGAATTAAAGGATATGTTACATAAATAACCCGTTTGGGACCTAAATCAGTGCTAATGACAATGTCAATGCGGTTGATGAAATAAATCTATCCCAAATTGTTAACCTAAAGTCGTTTTGAAATAGGCAGCAACGAATATAAAATCTAACTTAGAAAGCAATTGCTGCGGTATTGTGGGGAACGTCTAATAAACACCGCATATGTTGTCTACAATAGCATGGCTGCCTAATGGGTTATTGATTTCAAAACCATCCAGGTACAAAAAAATTGGAACAACGATTTTATTTTAAAAGTTGGAATATAATTTATTTTTATAAGAAATCGAGTTGACGAAATGATCGGTTTTATGACTTAATGTTTGTTATACCCGTTACTCGTAGAGTAAAAGGGTATACTAGATTCGTCGGAAAGTATGTAACAGGCAGAAGGAAGCGTTTCCGACCCCATAAAGTATATATATTCTTGATCAGGATCACTAGCCGAGTCGATCTAGCCATGTCCGTCTGTCCGTCTGTCTGTCCGTCCGGATGAACGCTGAGATCTCGGAAACTATGAGAGTTACAATACTGGGATTAGGCACGCAGATTCCTGAGATTCCTGCGCAGCGCAAGTTTGTTTCAGTAGAGTGCCACGCCCACTCTAACGCCCACAAACCGCCCAAAACTGTGGCTCCTACAGTTTTGATGCTAGAAAAAAAATTTTTAATTGAAATGTATTGTTCTCATCAATACCTATCGATTGATCCAAAAAAAATTTTGCCACGCCCACTCTAACGCCCACAAACCGCGAAAAACTGTGACGCGCAAAATTTTTATGCTAGATAAAAAATTTTAACTGAAATGTATTGGTCTCGACAATACCTATCGATTTGTCCAAAAAAAAATTTGCCACGCCCACTCTAACGCCCATAACGCTTAAATCTGTATACCGCCGGTAGGTGGCGCATTTTAATCTCGCTTTGCTGCTTGCGTGTCTATATTTAGCTGAGTAACGGGTATCTGAAAGTCGAGGTACTCGACTATAGCGTTCTTCCTTGTTTTGATATTTCTTGTATGGTATTATCCAAAACATTTGGCAATTCAAAGAACTTGCGAATTTGAAAGGTAATGTCCATCAGGCAAATATTAACTTTTGGATTATTTTTTTTTATAACTGGTGAAATCTCATTGTTTACATTAAAGGAAACTGGATTGGCAAAACTATCTATGTTTTTCAGTTTTTTAACAAAAATCAAGAAATTGCTGAGCATCTTCGTTTATACTTTTGGGAATTATTGCAAGTTTTACTGCATCTATAATGTCTGAAGTTATTTTAGAAATTTTGTCCTGAATAAACAATATATCTTTTCTACAAAATGAACTCTTTGAGTGGAACTCTAACAATATTTATTTATTTATTTACAAACTGCTTGCTTAAAGTTAAAACTAAAGCAACAGGGGTAGGCAGCCATAGCTACTTAGGCTTTAGGCTGGCTTAAACTCTATAGTTCAATTTTCTATTCGGTTCTTAATTACTAAGGGTAAAATTCATTCATGGTATTCGCTTCTTAATTAATAAAGTACATTTCAGGTGTATTAACAAAATATCTTAATTATAAGAGGTTTAATAAGTTAGATTTCTTAAGGAAATCGAGAAGTTGAAGGAGGTTGGTGGTCGTAGGATTGGAAAAAAGTGGAGTAAGGTTATTATTCGGGATGTGGGTTCGGTTGTAATTAAATGCAGTGCATTCGTTAAGGATATGGTCTATTGACATTGAGTTATTATTGCAGAACTTACAGGGGTTGTCTGCAGCCTGAAGGAGTCTGAATTCATGGGTAAGTCTGGTGTGGCCCAGGCGTAATCTTATGATTCGGGTTTGGTCTTTTCGTGTTAGTTTGACTATTTCTTTAGCTTTTGTGTAGTCGCTTATGTTAAGATGGTTGCTGTTTATGGATTGGTACCAACTGGAGGAGTATTGGAAAAGATTGAGGGAGGTGCTACAGAAATGTTTTTTTAAAAATCTGTTTATGTCGGATTGGTTAATATTGTGTGTGGTGATCAGCGGTGCGATAGTTGCGTTTTTTGCGTTTTTTGCGGCCAACATGGCTCGGAACCCACAGGATTTTTATTTTGGGGTAGGCGTTATTTATTATACCACGAATTTTCGTGGGATAATAAGCGGAATTGTCTATGTTTAGAATCGAGTGAATTGCGGAAAGGGAGTCAGAGCAGATACAGATTTTTCCTTTGTTATTAAGGCCTATCTCGGTGGCTTCTAGTATTGCGATAATTTCTGCAGTATAAACGGATGTATAGTTTGGAAGGATGGCTCTTTTTAGAACAATGTTCTCTGTGGTTATGGCATAAGCAGTTGTGTCTTGGTTTTGTGATGCGTCCGTGTATATAAAAGTGTAGTTGGTCAGTTTTGATTTTATGTCGAGAAATTCTTTTCTTAATATTGGCATGCTTGTTGCTGCTTTTTTATATTGGCTTAAATGTGTGTCTATAGCATCTGATTGTAAGTGCCAAGGGGGTTTCGATTTTGGTAAGATTTTTGCTGGGCTTATAGGGAGACCTAGGCTTGCACAGGACATAATAGTTTTGTGTAGGACTGAGTTCCTGTATTTCAGAGTATGCTTTTTTGTAATTTTATCTATTATTGATTTTAGAGGAGTATCCGATGATTGCGTTATTGTATTAGACATTTTGGCTTGAAGATGATTTGTTCTAATGTCTAAGGGTGGTATGTTCGATTCTAAGTGTAAGTTAATGACGGGTGTTGAGCAGAAGGCTCCTAGTGCTGAACGGATTGCATTGTTGAGAAGGGTTTGGATCGGTTTGATTTGCGATTTCGGAGCTAGACCATAAAATGGTAAGCCGTAGTCTATTTTTGACAAACATAGACATCTGACTATTTGGACCAAGGTCAGTGGCTGGCAGTTATATTTATCGTTTGAGAGGCATTTTATAATATTAATTGAGTTTGTTAAGGATTTTGCTAGTTTATTTATGTGGGGTTGCCATTTGTATTTTGTGTCGAATGATAAGCCTAGCATTGTTAGTTCCGCTACTGTGCATATAGAGTTTGTTACTGTAGAAAGTTGGCAGACACAGTTATGTTTTCTGCAGATATGTATATGTTTGCATTTAGATAGGGAT